ATGTACTGTATTGAATATATACAAATGTAAGCTACAGATCATGTGTAATACATAATAATGTATCTATACAAAGATAAGAAAAATAAATTCTAATGCCAATTTCCCCACTCCAGTCCAACTGTCCCCAGGTTTTTGAGGCAGAACTGTGCATCCAACACCAGCCCATGTCCTTACCAAAATGAGCAAGGCTTACCCACCCTTTTACTCTTTCTCCCATGGAATTGTACTTACTCATAGTTCCTTTTACCTGCATCTCTAATCCTGTGTTCAATTTTGGACTCCTCACTGCAAAAAAGACTTTCAGGGCTTGGCCCATGGGTTCTGCTCTCCTCCTCCTCCCAAACCCACATTTTCTGCAGTAACACCAGGTAGAACCTGAGCCGGAGGCTCCACAGCACCCAGTAGGGACAGAGGTGAGGAGTGCCACTGTCCCAGGCAGAGCCTGGGGGAGGGAGGGCCGGCATGGAGGGTAGGAGACATGGACGAATTTGCTTTCCTAAGACTCTCAAAAGCCCATTGGAGGCTTCCCCAAAAAGGGCAATCCCAAACAAACAGTGTAGGAAGAACACATCTGCAAAGTAAATAGTCACTCCCTCAAAGGCCTGGTTCTGCTCCACTGGTCTCTCCACAGACCCTACAAACTGGGGATTGCTGCTGCTGAATGGACCCTCACTCTATTTCATATAGAGCTGAGTCTTTGTAAGCACTGCCAGGCCAGAGGAGGAGTGGAGAGAGGCTGCTGCTGCCCTCTGAAGGTATCACCAGCTCTGTGAGTCAATCAGCTCACCATGACAATCAGGAAAAAAAGAAAAGAAATGAGAGAGGTCCAGATCTTGAACAATTTCCTCTCCACGCTGTAAACCCAGGCAAAGGAGGACAGCTATGTTGATGCAGACAAATAGTTGATTAGATTAAGCAAAGAAATAAGCTTTTGAAAATGGGCTTTTTTGTTTGTTTGCCTGACAAGCATGAGTGTCTTGTTCACACCAGCTCACACATTTCAATAATCTAGGAAGAGACTCATGACAAATGCTCTCAGGTCTCATTTACTGCAGCATTTACTTTGACTTCAAAGAGCGGGACTTTTTTAACAACTACAGGACACTTTGACAGGGGAATGACTAGATAGTGGCAGCTCCTTTTCCCTGAAGTTGTTAAGGAAACTCTCCTGTTTTGTTTTTATTTATTTGTGTTTATTTATTACTTTCCTGACTCACCATTCAGGAGTCACTCTGGCAGTCACACTCCCACCACTCCAAACTGTCACTGCTGGGAACAAAGCTCCTTCACAGTGGGTGGCTCCAGTAACCCCATGGGTGTCCTTTGTGGGTTGCTGCACACCCCACACTCACAGTCAGAGAAAAGGTCTCCTTACAGCTCAGTTCTGGGTTTCCCACAGCTCAGTGGGGTGGGAGTGTGACTGCCAGAGCAGTTCCTGGGTGGTAGGACAGGAAAGGTTTCTTACCACAGTGCTGTTGAGGATGAGCCACTGAATTTAACCAGGACCAGTGGGTCCAGCAGGCAGCATCTCTCCAGTCTGCTGCAGGGCTCTCAGGGAAGAGAGGTGTTGAACATTTAAGAGCCAGAAAAGGGACTGATGACATTCAGTGACAGGCTGAATGAAGGAGCTCAGAGGAGCTCCATCTGCACTACCAAACGCAGCGATGTTCAGCATGTAATCACCATTCACTCCTTCTTCTGAAGAAAGCAACAGGATGGAGGAAAATCACAAGAAATCCTCTGCATTCACTCAAACTTCTAATGGACAGTGGTTCTGAATCTCTGAGATTCAAATTCCAAATGCACATCAGAACTCCCCTCCATTCCCACAAAACAAAATACATTAGAACAGAGGTTTTTTTGTAGATGTGGTGCATATACCACTTAAGAGGCACTTTTCACACATACTGTCAGTTCTCTCCTGCAGAACAGCTTCTCCCACCCTCTCATCTCCTATATCCAACCACACAGCAAATACACAATCCATCAGCCTGAGATGTGCCTGAAGAAAGACAGGTTTAGCACTTGTCATAGTGAAGTCACGAGACAGATACACATGGAACAAGAGTGAACAAATTTCTACTCTAACAACCATTGATATGTTGGTCAATAAGCCTTTCGTGGGAAGAGGATTAAAAAACCCCCAGTGAAAAAGAGGGCTGGTTTACCAGTGGTAACAACCATTGATATGTTGGTCAATAAGCCTTTCGTGGGAAGAGGATTAAAAAACCTCAGTGAAAAAGAGGGCTGGCTTACCAGTGATGGGTGTAAATCAGTTTGAGGCCTGCAGGGCAGGTGATTTGTGGCACAGTCTGTGGTTCCTTACTGACATTTAATATAAATAAATTCTGTCATTTTCTAGGCAGTCCTGTTGCAGTACTGACTTGAAGACTAAGCATCTTGTAACTGGTCTGTCTTTGAGAAGCCCAAGCAATTCTAATAGAACACACTCTTTCAGGTTAAAAAAAAAAAGTTTTTAAAAAGGTAAAAAACCCAAAGAAACCAAACTCAACAACCACAGAAAAGTCCTGTGTGTGAGCCAATGCATCTGTCTTCATAAATTTCAAGGTCAGAAAGAATGGAGTCAGAGAATCAATCTCTTTTCCAACATAACAGAGGTTGTTAACTGCACAGTCTATAATAATTATGCCACAGGAATTATCAACTAGCTCTGAACATAAGATGGAATTAGCTTTGAAGCCAAATGAGAGACACTTCAAACAGCAACTCTCTGAATACTCTTGCAATTCACAGCTACAGAAAATCTGCTCTGTGCTATAGCAGGAGTTTGGGGTAGGTGGGACCCTTCAAGCTATTGTCTTTTTGTTTAAGGAGTTTGCTTTCCTTTCGCCCATTGCAAAATCTGATGATCAAACTATAATTAAACCTCTACCTTCTGTTATACCAATCATTCAGGTGAAGATTAATCTAGTCAGCTATTTCCTTTACCTGCATATATCTGTTCTTTGCTGCTCTCTCCCACACAGGTGAGTCTCCTACACACAAGCCCATATTTGTGGCCCCAAGACTGTGTTGGCCATGCACAGCAAGCAACTGTTGATAAATAATGACAATTTTCAGTTCACTTACTTATGCACTGGAATTGTCACTTCTTTTCATCCCTTGATTTGGAGAAATGCACCCAAATACTCAAACATCTGAGCTGCCACTCCTTGTGGACTTAGGACAGCTTTCACAAGAAGTGCTTGGGGCAGGATTAGCCCCCTGGAAGGGGTGAACTTACACATAGGAGAGATGTGAACTGGCACAATAATGATACAGCACCTGCTCTCCTAGGTGGAAATAACTAACAAGGGTACTCCAGGTATCTTCAGATGCAAGTAATGAATATAAAAGGCAGCAAGTTATTTAAAGCATGCCATTTTGAGCACCACATTGATGAGAATGAGCTGTACCTTTGCTGGAATGATTGGTGCCCTTACCTGGAGCTGCTGGGATCGCAGGGGAAAGAGAAAGCCCTCTCCAAATCTGTGGGCAAGCAAGAATATCCCCTTTAACCTATTTTTATCCTGCCAGATCCACCTTCCATATTTGAAATATGAACAGGATGACTAATTACCTCCTCTTTGCTCAGGGAAATACCAAATACCCTGCTCTTCACACTTTTAATTAACGGGAAAATTTGCAGTGATTTTCCTACAGAGAATGTTGACCCTGGGCTGAATTTCCAGCTCAGGTACCGCATGGAAACTCCCTGGGCACTGTGGGGAATCCGTGCCAGGGTGGGTCTTGCTTTCTCACCTGCTTTCCTGAGTGGGAAGTGGTGCTGGCTCTGTGCAGACCTGTCCCAAGTGGGGAAGGGGCAGCCAGGTAACACAGCCAGCCTGGCCTCTTCCAGGAGCTCAGACACCCATTTGGTGGCTTTATCTAACACACCACTTTCCTTCAGGGTGAGGGAGATGCACTCTGCCAGGCCCAGGAGTCCTGCTGCTGGCATGGGGAAGGAGCCAGGCTGGAAAGGAACAGGGAATCCAGTCAGGAAGGTTTCCTACACTGAGACTACAGCAAAATTAGGAAGTTTGCATAACTGAGCACACCATAAATACCACAATTTGTCTCTCACTAGAGCTGCAGTTTCTCCTCTCTGGGGGACACAGGCTGCCTCTAAGAGCCAAATATTTTCCATCTGCTGACTCAGTGTCAAGTGCCAAAAGTGAATCCATTGCCATTTGGACCTAAAAAGAAAAGGCAACTCAAACCGTGCAGTGTTCACCCCGCTGCCATCAGTGCCAGCAGCAAGACATACTGCAAGTTCTCCGATTGATAAAAAAAATTTAAAAATCAACTAAGTTGCTGTCCACATGGCTAGGACCAGAAACAGCTCTACTTTCTTGCAATAAAAACATGTGCTTGGCTATGGGGAATATCAGGAAAAAGGCCAGTGGTACTAAGCATAGCCCCATCAATAAGTTTATGACAGAAATGCATGGGCACAGAATAAATCACTTACCTTAAGAAGGAGACACAGTAAAAAAGGAAGATAGATTCACTGTGATGAGAAGGGACTCAGTCCAGGTCATTATTGAAGTAGAAGGTAACAGACTTCAGAAGGTGGTGAGAGAAATTCCTTCTTCCCATTCTGACAGCTCCTCCAGGAGGTCTTCTCAAGTTGGTGACCACGAGTGTAGAAAAGACCCACCCTGTGGCCCTGTCACAGCCATGTGACATGGTCAGCAACACAGTGCAACCCCAAACCAGAACCCTGTATCCAAAATGCAAGTGTTTCTCATGCTGCAGCTCTGGCATGGGGACAGAGTCTTTGCTTCCAGAGGACTGGAAGCTTCCTCAGCAGAGAGCAGCTGCTCAGCACTGCTGCTCAGAGCTGTTCCCAGGGCCCTTCCAGGGCAGCCTCACACTGCCACCATGGCACAGCTTTCCAGCCACCTTCAGGTTCACCCAGCCTGTAAAAGAAAAGCACTTGCAGAGGCTTGTGCAATTTCATATGACTGTAAAAGTGGTGGTCATGACCATACACTTGGTGTGGTTTAGAGAACAGGTTGTATTTACTTCAGTTCACAAAGTAAAGCCACCAGCTTTAATCCTCTGTAAAAACAAAACAATGGGACAAGTGCATGATTCAGAGGGCTTGGTGCAAATTTTTGCAAAGTAACAGATACAAAACCAAAATAGTTAAAATCATACATATGTGAAAAATAAAAGAAATTCAAGTTAAAACCAGGACTAATTCCCTATTAGCCCTAGAGATGATCCAAGAACATGTCAGGAAATAAATACATCGTTCTAGTTTTCACCATAAAAGAGGGTGCTGCTCTGTAATCAAAATGGTTCGGGTGTTTACAGAAGGCAAATGGGTTACAGGAGAAACAGAAAGAAGAAAAGCATTCATAAGAGTCGACTGAAATGCTGCAGTGTGACCACTTCCCACACACCTCAGCGTGAGTAAGAGAAGACTTTAAATCACGGAAAGGGGCCAAAGAAATTAACTGTGAGCAGCACACCATCATCTGCCCCATGCTGGAGGGACTGTGCCAAGGTGAGACCAGCATGGTGTGGCTGCCATCACAGAGATTCTGAAGCTCCACCACAATCCATGGCTGCCCTGGGACACATGGCAGTAAGTTGGCCTGATCAGACCAATTTATTTGAACAAGAGAGCAATTTATCCTACAATCCACCTGAAGTGAATGCTGCTTAAAGGCATATCTTCCTGGCCTCTGCGGGACTGTGGGTGCTCTGAGGAGGAGGAGGCAGCCAGCACAACTGAACCTCTTCTCCTGACATGGAAAGCACAGTTGGTGATCCAAACGCTCGGCCTTTCCCCAAGGGCCAAGAGCTCTGGTGACAGGAGGGAAAAGGAAGTTCTTCCAAGTATCTGTCTCAACACTGCAAACCACAGCAGACAAAGCAAAACCCTCACTCATCAAGGCAGCACGGCTTGTGCTCATAGCTGGTATTTCTGATGCTTTGTTGCCATTCAGCTCTCCTTTTGCTGCATGTGCTACTAATGCCAAATCCTGGCAGGTCAGAGCTGTACTCCAGTGAAGCCAGCAGAGGAGGAGATGTTTAATGCCCAACAGAAGCAGAGAAAATTCTGCAGTTAATGTCATAGCATGCAAAAAACATCCCAAAGGCTCGTCCTAACCTTCTGCTTCCTTGTCAAGATACACTTATTTACCAAGTACCACTTGGAGTAGATTCAAGTGGTAGTTGTGTTGTGTCCATATTTTTAATGGGATTTGACATTTAAGGCAGCACTGCAGCTCACCTCTAAGCCTATAATAACACTTGCAAATCTGCTTACAAGACATCAGCAGAGTACACCAGGGACAGCTCAGACTGGCTCTGTCCCCACAGAAGCAGCACTGGAGCACCAAGCGATGCTACAAAGCAGACACTGCAGGCTGCAGTGCCTGACACAGACACCTGGACCCACTCCTAATCTTCACAATAAAAACAAAACCAAAGACTGCAAAGAGCCCTCACTTTATCTTAAAAGCAATACTGCACTGAGTCAGATACCACTGGAGGTCAGGAGCACTTCATGAATACACTGAGCCAGGACTCCTTTCCACACCCTGCTGAGTATCCTCAGTCTTGTGAAATCCATGAGTGCTAAAAGTACCAGGGTAGGGCCAGGATGAAATACTGATCATCACCTCCTGGTCTGGAGTCACGATGGCCCAGTGCTGAGAAGCATCTTTACATCTCTCACACAAGTGCAGCATCTCCTATCCATTTGATTTTCTCTTTCATCATAGCCCTATTAACACTAACATTTTGAGAGCAAATTGATGCTCAGTGCCAGGATGCTCAGTATATTTGCATCCAATTTACATACCCCAGCCATCCTTTGCACCCAATTTATACCAGAACCCCCAAGATATGACTGGAACCAAATAAAGTACATATGAAGTACATACAGTCAGCTCAGACTCCTCATATACTCGATTCTCTTTGGGCCTGGGAAAAAAGTACGTCTGATCAATTCTGATTTGGAATTTTCATCTATGCCCATGGGAAGCAAAATGAAGGATCTCCTCCTCTCATAAGCCACCTCAGCAGATCTTTCTGCAGGATGCAAATGGCTCCATCCCTGAGTTCAACTTTAAAAGAGAAATGAAGTGCTCAGCATTCACTACGAAGCACCAGAAGCAAAAAAACACTTTGCCTCCACTGAAGGGACAAAGAACAAAGAAGAAGCACAATTGGGAAAGATGGAGAAAAGCAGAAAGAACTCAATTTGTATCATACCAAAGAAAAAGAAGGAAACCTGATGCCAAAAAGTTTATAATAATAGAGAGAGAAAGCTTACAGAAGGCAGACTGTGCTGTTCAACAGCAAAACCTTTGCAGCCCTCAGTGGTCATTTGGGAGCAGCCTGGTACCTCCACCAACAATGATCCCAGGCTGGTAAAAGAACCTATGTAGATAGCATCCTCAGCCACATGAACCCTCGAGCCCATTTCAATGACATGAGCAAAACTCCTATTTTTCTCCTTTTTTCCCAGCAGGGATGACACACCACTTTGTCCAGCTTGGTGCATACAGTTCTCCACTGCTCAGGCAGGCTCCTCCTAGCTGACAGAGGTGCAGTTCAGCTGGGCAGGCTCCTGCCTAGCGGCTGCAGGCACAGCTCCCTCGGGGCCATCGGCGATGCTGGGCTCGCTGGAGCACTGCCTGTGGCCAAAGCAGCTGGGCTGCAGCAGCAGGCATTGGTCAGAAGTGTCCGATTCCTCCACCACCATGCCCGTGTGCATCATGGAGGCCATGGCCAGGAGCTGGATATCCGAGTGCGCGTTGGCCACCGTGTGCCGACGGACGCTCCCACATTTCTCCAGGTAAGCCTCGCCCTCCTGCTCTGTCAGCGGGGTCAGGGCCTTCGGGCAGGATCTGGAGTACCGTCTCTCTGGAAGAGAAAGAGGAAGCAGGAATGGTCAACAGCACGCAAACGGAGCGCTGGTCACACTGCTGGGCTGGCCTCGGGGAACAGAGAGAATCCAGTGTGCAGCTGCAGAGTGCCCCACTTCACTACTGGTGGAAAGCAGTCAGGAGCTCACCAGTTCATACTGCTAGGTGTTGGGAAAGGAGACCTGCCTCTGCCCCAGAGCAGAGAGACCTCCCATCCTGGTGCAGGGGCTGCTGCCTGTGAGAGAAGTGAGCCAAAATGTCACCAGTGCAGCCAAGGGACTCTCTAGCATCCTGAGAGTCTTCTCTTTTATCAAGGGGTGAAGACCAAGTAGGTACACTCACATGCAGGTTCACTAAAATAAGTGACACTACAGTGGCACAAGTCTCTAAAAAACACATTCACTGGGGATTTGAATTGCCATCCCCATCTCTGAAAAATTTCTCTCAGGAAGTGCCATTAGCTGTTGTCAATGTGAAATTCCTAGTGCTTACATTGCACTGTCTCTACATCTGCCTAGGAACAGACCATTCTGTTGGCATTATTTTTTAAAGATCATGCCAGAAAAAGAACATTTCATCCACTTTGCAACACATCTGGTTTGGAGGCTGGATGCAGAAAACTCCTAAGAGTGCGCAGGAACAGTCCACAACAGCCTGGGGAAAAGGGGCACAAGGGAAAGGCAGTATTGTGCTGAGGAAGAAAGGCAGTGACACAGAATGGGTGGGTGTGGGCTGTACAATCTGCTCAGCAAAACATTAAGGAGGAAAATTGCCAGGTCTAAAGCACAAACCCAAGGCGCAGTCCCCAGCGCAGTACCATGAAGCACATGCCAATTCTGACACTGAAAGCTTGAAGGAAGGCAGGGGTCAGAGTTTTGCCTTGGCTCACTGTAATCCCACCCCAGCAGGTTGAATCAGACACTGTTACTGTTCACCTGCTGGTTTCCACCCCCCTGCAATGTTCCATGTGATTTTGGACACCTCCTGTGGGTCTGTCCCTGCAGCAGCTGATGGAGCCACTCCCTGTGACTCTTTGTGTCTCACAAACTTTATGAAATGAGACCCTATACTTCAGTAAAGTCAGAAGCCTTTAAACCATATAAAAGGCCTCCAACCGAGACTGCAGAAGATAAGAGTAACAAAATGCAAAGCAAAGCACTCGTCACTGAAGGTTATAAGAGTTTTGTAAGCTTGTATCAGGAAGAAAAGCAGAAAAACTCCTATTTGTTGCAGGGAGGAACAGGTGAGCCAACACTTCACACTGCTACTGCCAGTAATACACCAATTCAAAATGGTTCATTCACACTTAAGAGTATGCACAAATAATTTCTGAGACTGGTTACAGCAAATACACTCTTTAGGTTTCATCTGCAGCTCAAGCCACAGCAAGCTGTAGTGTTAAAGGGCATTAGGATATGACTCTTTTGAGAAAAAAATTAGGTGAAATTAGCCTAAACTCTGAACATGCATTTATTGCTTTACTTTTCCCCCTTTACTTTCTTGGCCACAAAAGACAGTCTCTTAAGGGAGTTGTTCTGCATAGCTTAACTAGAAATTTTGTTTTTATTTTTGGTGCCTTATGACCAGGAATATAAACTGGGAGGAGTTTTTCTGGGACTTTTTTGCAAGCAACCTCAGATCAGCAGTGATGTGTGGCTGTTCTATCTGTTCTCCTATCCCCAATATAAACCCTGTTTCTTAGCCAGCTGGATCCCCTTGGCATACTCCATCCTTACCACACAGGTTATGGCTAATTTACACAGGCAAAGCAAAAGGGTGCTAAGAGAGCAGGTGCGAATGCTGCCATCTTCAGTTCCCCTCTCTGAGAGGTCCTGTCCTTTTCACACCCCTCTGCTTGAAATCAGCTTAAGATACAGCAGCCTTGCAGGCTGAAGCCTTATGTATACTCACAGCTGGGAGCAGACAGCTTCAGCCACATTTCCCAACACTCATTTACCCTGAAGGCTCCAGCCCAGAGGGCAGTCTGGTCTCCAGAGCAGCTGTGTAGAATGCAAGCACACCCCAAGCCCAACAGCATCCCCTCCCAAAAACTACTATGGGGAACCTACTGGGCTTCACCAACATTACAGGCTGCCCAGTGAGAGAAGAAACTGGTTCTGAGAAAGCAAAAAGGTGACTGAAAGAGGGAGAGGGAAGAGAAAGAAGTCTGATCACAAGTGAAAGTTAAGGAATAGAAGCCACCTCCATAGCAGCCCTGTGAAAATACCATTATTATTTGTAGAAAAATGCTGGTTTGCAGTCCCTGTCTTGTACTGCAAACACAAATTCCTTCTTTCCTCATGCTCAGCACAGGGTGGAGCAAGGGTAAAAGGCCACTTTGGAAATATAGACAAATAAATGAGAGCTAAAATCAAAGTAAGTTCAATTATTTTAAGGCATATAAGTTTTACAAGGCCAGCTTGTGTAGGTTTTTTTCCTTTTTTTTTTTTTTTTAATGGCATAAATGCCTCGTTCAGCTGGCAGAAATCCAGGATGGCTAGAAACTTCAGCACAGGTCAGGCAGCTACCTTTTAAACCATCTCAGCAACATACAGCTGTCCATAAACAGCAAAGCAATCACATTTGTCAAAGTCCAACTTTTACAGGGGATTTTGGTCTAGATTGAGCCCTAGGATCAGATCTGCAAATCCAGGCTGAACTGTACAACCATGTTCACTTGCACAGAAGATATCTGATTGCCCAGCAACCACAAGAACAAAAATCCTAAGCCACAGTTTTCCTAAAGCAATGCTATGGGTTTATTACAGGCACAGATTGTCTGAGTTCCAGTAAGTTCTTCTACCACAAGCCCATCTTTGCCCTTCTGCTGCAAGTGTAGTACAAGGCAGGTTGTGGGTCTCCAGCTCGCTACAATTTTGCATCGAAGCAAAGGCTAAAGCTAGCAAAAACAGAGGGAAACTGGAGCTTTCTTCACTTGTTCTATTTAAATCTTCTTGACTATCAAATCAGTAACACTATGCCCATTAGCTAGCCAATCTCTTCTGGCTGGCCACATGTGTAAGCAGAGCTCCTGCATCACGTGAAGAAGTTTCCCAGAATAAGCATGCTCTTCCTTAAGTAAGGTGCCCATTCTCTCACCTAGACATGTCTATCCATACCTTAAACACAGAATTTTAATTTGGGTTTTGTTTTTTTTTAAACAGAATCCTTGGATGGAAGGAAGACTTTATGCAAAATCCCTGTCATCTCTCAGAATTAATATGCAACAGTTCTGCTGTTTGCAAAAGTTCATTGATGCAGCAGCTGAAGCAGGCAGCAAAGGACCAGGTACAGTCTCTCACTGTGGTGAAAGCAGTACACCAGGCATGGACAAAAGGGTTTTAAAATGCAGCCCATGTCCAGAGAGAGGGGAGACTTTGTGGGGGTCTGTGTGCAGTGATGGGGCACTAATAGTTCACTAGGCCATGGACAAGAAAAAGCCTGTCACAAAAACTTGTATCCAGAAACATTAATCAGGGCATTTTCAAGGGTGTTTTAGCCTTTGTTTTCTGTCTCTCATGCGAGTCATGCAGTTTCCTTTTCCAGCACAAATGCCTCCCATTACCCAACCTGTGTACCCCAATAACAGCTTCAGTACAATGTGCATGTCTTACCAAGCAAGCAGGTGCTACCAGAGGAGCTGTGATCCTCACACAAGCCTAAGAATGGTGATACCACCTGCTTGACCAGTTCTTCCAGCTGTAGGTAGCCCTCAGTGGGGCCAGTAGGCTCATGGACACTCTGAAAATCAAACACAAAAGGTCAACATAACCCTTACAAGATTTTGGAATAAAGCCTGGGGTCTGTCAATTCTCTCTGTACTGGAATATCCCAACTGTGTCAGTAAAGCTTTTGGAGCTGATGGAGGTTTGGGTGCCTTTCAGGTCAACCTCCTTGTTCAAGTTACAGCCACACCCTACGGACATTGAGCAGACAGTTCTTTTTTCTGAGCAAGTGACAGGAAGGTACGAGGTGTGCTCACACTGAGGATGTGCACAGAGTACTGCAGCAATGTCATTGTGCCAGGGTGCTTCTACCAGAAAACTCTTTGTAGAAAAGCACTTAACACGCCTTGGGCAAAAGCACTGCTCTTTCCCTAGGCAGGACTGCAGGCAAAGCACCCTCTGTGGTTCAGCTTACAGCTGTGAAGATGGTAGATAACACCAACCAATTTAACAGCAATTTCAGAAACCGTTCAGACTTAACTTCCTGCAAAGCCTCAATAAGCTTTTTTCCTCACATGTGCTGCTTTGAAGTCCTCTTTGCTCTCAAAATTCTTGTATTAAAAAAACATCCAGGAAATTGAGGTAGCACTTTAGTATCACCTGCTATTCCAGTCAGGGTCACTGGAACATCAGAACAGTGAGAGTTCATACAGAACTACCAGCTTAGCCACTTTGCAATTTTGGTTGTGCTTCATAAAGTTTAATTCTCAGACACCATATGCTGGAGAAGAAATAAAAGTCACTGGGCTGTGTGGCGTGTTGGAGGGAAGGGATGCCACCCAGAGGGAATTTGAAAGGCTTGAGCTATGGGCCTGTGCAAACCTCGTGATAATCAACAAGGCCTAATGGAAGGTCCTGCACGTGGCTCAGAGGAAGGCTGGATTGAGCTCTGAACAGCCTGGTCCAGTGGAAGGTGTCCCTGCCCATGGCAGGGAGGCTGGAACTAGATGTTCTTTAGGAACTAGATGATCTTTAGGATCCCCTCAAACCCAAACCATTCTCTGATTCTATCAATTCAAACATGTAAGATGGCATTTTTCAGAACTGTCAGGCTGGGCAATATGAGAAAAAAATAAAACCACTGTAGTTGGCATGCTTGGAAAGTATTCTGTTGAGACCCAGACAAAGAGGATAGCTACTACAGATGCTCTACATCTCTTGGGAGAGACCTTTGAAAGATGGCCTCTCATTTTGCCTGCAGCCGAAAGGTATTTCTCCTCTAATGGGCACTACTCAGCATCCCAGCCAACCAGGGTGCTAGTGTCAAGCAGCCAGAGCCACAGTGCATCCAAATTCCATTATCTGCTGTGATGGACACTTGCCCTGTCCTTGCAAAGCTGAGAAATCAGGAAAATTAGGGCACAAAGAGGCATTCAGACAAGCTAGAAGATTAAATTTGTGTGAAAAAAAAGATAGGGAGGAGAAGTACAAAAAGCCCCCTAAACCCAGCTCTTTGAAGGCAACATCTTTACCTGCTCCCAGGAAAGCTCAGGGCATCCAAATTCAGCTCACATTTTAATACTGACCACTTCTAAATAAGCACATATCACACCCCCTTCATCACACCCTCTACTCTCCCCACTTTTCCTCCAGTGTTTGTATGATTTCAACGAGGTCAGGATACCCAAATGAGTCAGAGGAAGAAGAGCAGAGGTTCCCCACCTGCAGAATTAACAGCATCTGGACAATGGAAGCTGGAACTTTTGTCTGGACCAGGGGAAGGATTTCTTCCAACTTTACTTTTAGCAAGACCAAGTCTCTGAAGCCAAGAAGAGCAATCTGACGGATAGTCAACTCCTGACCCTAAAAAAACAAAGAAGGAAAAGTCCAAGTGTAGATAAAGGGATCTGTAAGCATCATACCAACACATGGGCACACAGACAGGAGAGTTTATTCTGCCCATTGCTGCTGTGGCAGAACACACTCCTGTCATTCATGTTGAGGATTCATTCTGCTCTTTAATTTCTTCCCTCTCAGTCTCACACAAATTCTGAAGTGGGCATCGCCTCATCTGTGGCACCACTAGGTTTGGAGTGAAGCCAGAAATGGGCCTGTAGCTCACCAAATGACTATGTATGTATTCATAAAACCCACATGCCATCCAATTTGTTCACAAAAAAGCCCAGGCTGGATGTAGCTTGTGCTTCTGGCACTTGGAGCTGAAAAAGCAGAGAAGGTTTGGTAGGGAATGAAGTTGTTTCAGAGTATTTCTTAACTAGACCCACTTCTGACCTATACTGTACCCTCTTTTTGCTCAACATCTGCATTTTAGACCTTGCTGATATGACAAAAATCTACAAGTTAGTCCATTACAGATTTAGGATTTAGGCTGGCGGAAAGCTAGCAAGACTGCTTGAACCAAAAACAATTTTAAAAAGCAACAGCTTTAATATCCTCTGCAAGGCATTCCTATTTTACATCAACAACACAAGTGAGCAGGCTTAACAGATGATATATCTCAGCATTTTTAAACACAGTCTGACTCCATTTGGCATTCTGGTGTTACCACCTTCCCCTCTGCTATGTTTAATATCTGCATGACTTTCTCTTGCCCCCCACTGCAACTCAGTAGCAGAAATTTTCCTCCCAGCGCTGCCTAGCACTTTCCAGCCTGAAAAGTTTGCTTTGTTCTTCTCAGTATGTTAATCTCTGCCCCATGGTCTGCTTGGGAATCATTTTATGATCTCTATAACACACTCATAGCAAATATTTAGCACTCATAACATAGCAAATATTTAGCTAGAAGAAATTAACAGCAGGTAATCATTAATTCATAACAGGTTGCATGTCACAATTAACAGCATTATCAATAAGTAAATATAAATTAAAACCAATAGTATGGAGGGGAGCTTGGCCATAAAAAAAGCAGTTTGCTGTTTTAAACCATTACTGTGATGGGGAAAAATGCGCAGGAAAGACCAGTACCTATCTTGAAACTATATCTCAGCAGCTACAAACTTTTTATTTATATTATGCAGCTTTAGTCCCATTAACTTCATGCCCCATTTCAAAATGCAAATATATTTCTGTGCCAAGCAAAACAAGATTTGCTATTCTTTTTTCCACACCAATAGTCACATCAACAGCTGCAACTATACGAAACCAGTGAGTGACCTGTTTACATAGTTTCCCTCTGTACAGCAATTTAACCAACTTGGCTGCTTAAAGGTCGTATTTCTGCAAGAGCTACAAGCCTTGGGGTTAAACTTAGCTGAGATATGGGGCTGGTGTGAGTTACTACCTTTGGTAACATACGCTCACACATGTGGCTGACTCAGTTTCATTCTGAACAGGTAATTGCTGGGATCACAGAAGAGCACAACCAAATAATCCTGCTGGTATTTGCAGGAAAGGACAGAGAATCAAGAACAAATTGACTTTCCCATCTACCAGAGCAGTGTACAAAGAAGTGCAGTGTGATGGAAGGCACTCGCTGGATGAGATCTCCTCACATGTTGTAACACACCACATAAGTGGTTACATACAGTTCCCTATTTCTAGGAAAAGCCCAATCTTGTTATTGGGACACTGGCCTGGCATAAGAGCAATTTCTATTTCTTGCTGCACCAGCAACTCTTTGTGGCAGCCTAGAGCAGCTTACTCTGAGTTAAATTCTTGGATGTATTTAGGCAGTTTAATCCATACATTAGTGTAATACTTAGGTGCCTACAAAGCTTTAAATATCCTGTCTGTTCACCTTTCAGTTCCTCATTCAGAAAGTGGCAATACTTCCCAAACTTTACAGCTTTGCTGATACATTTTGAATGACTCAGATATTGCAACAGGACAAATACAGAAAAACAATTATGCTTTCAAAGAATCTCAACATCTCATAGTCATCCTTTCACCACTAAGTTACTTCCAAAAGCTTTATCCACAGTGTTGTAACTCCTGTCCCATTTCTCATCACAGACATTTAATAGCAGGGCAGTACATTTTTCTGGTAAGTGGCAGAATTATTACCATCAGTGGGTAGGACACAGTCAGCTCAACTGCTTCCACAGTACACAGGCAGCTGCAGTGCAGACAAACCCCTGCTTAAATAGGTCACCCCCTCACTGAGAGTTAGCTGCAAAAGGAGAGAAAGGGAGGGGTACTATAGCTGCACAGTTTTACCTGCCAAACACCTACCTTCAAGCATCTGCAGCACGGAAAGAACAAAAATAAACACAGTGGAAAGGTTAGTGTCTGTCTTTGCAGAAGTCTTTTCTCTTTTAGGAAATGCCAGCTTTAATAGGATTAAAGGAAAAGGGCAAGCTTTGAGCTTTACCTGCTGCCTTTCAAACAATACAATGGAAAAATAATTTTAAAAGGCTCTGGAAATTATGTCCTCCAGAAGAGGCAAAAGTCAACGGGAGGAGGCTAGCATTTGCAAGAACGTCATTCTCCACAGGAGGTACATTTTTCTTTTTCTCTGATGGCAGAAAAGTCAAAATAGGCTGGGGAGGTAATTAGACTGCTCATATAGAAACTCGGAGTAAAACTACATTAAAAAATGATACAGCTCAACACTTCTAATGGGATTCAAAATACCCAGCGTAAAAGGTTTCACATGAAGTGTTCATTCTTCCTCTATCCATAGACTTACACGTCCCCTTATTGAAGCTTCAAAAACCCAACCGAGGATTTCCCAAAGGCATAAATGGGATACAAGCCCTTCAAAAGTCATTAGGCTGAGTTAAACACATTTTCTCCTCATCTAGTCTTCAGATTTATACCTCTAAGACAAGCTGTCAGTGTTGTCATCTGCACCAACAGTCACAGCTATTTAAAAAAGAAGGAATAATAAATACGAATAGCCCAGAGCTTCAGTATTGATGAGGTATAGCCCAGCAGCTTCAGTGTGCAAGCTTAGCTAAGCACAGAGAGTAGACAACTGGGAATAAATTCAGCCCAAACCACCATGCTTGTCCAGTAGATTTTAGCAGTCCTTCTTATAGTTAATACTTGGAGAAACTCTACTTCCTCCAAGATTTAGTTTAGTTTTGATGTGTATTTAGCCACTGGCCAAACAGTGCTGCTGGCAGAGAATTACCACTTGCCATTAGCAGGCATTGCAGTCACATTGCTTCACCTGACTGAACTGTAATTAGGATTACCTGGACTGGGTAGAATATTGCCTGGAGTGTAGGAAGAGTCTCTGTAAAATAGTGATCCCAGATCTCAGACAGGACATCAATGCGATCCTCACCTAGGAAAACAGAGATCGGAGCAAGAGCTTTAATGACAGGGACCCTAAAAGCAAGCTGGATTTTCCAAGTACTCTCTAATTCCCCAAGCAAGAAACTTCATTTCTGCACTTTCTGCCCAAAACTGGACATCACCCAGCTAAATTTCCCCTTAACAGACAGAGACACAAGGCTGTGACCACTGTTCATTCTGTGCAAAACACGAGACCAATTCCAACAAAAGAGTGAAGCCCCTCTTGAACCAGAGGCTTTAACTCCACAGCACAGAATTGTGCAATTGCACAGCTCAGTTAACATGCTCAGCTAGCAGGGGAGAGGCCACACAAAACCAGCTGAATCTGAGAACCAGCAGGTCACAGCCAACATCAGCTGACCATCGAACTGATCATGCAGCTGAGTCAGGGAGAGCATTTAGAAGAGCTGAGCCCCCTCCAGCACCCACTCAGTACCAAGCAGCAGTCAGGTATCTGTCAGGAATCCCAACAAATGCACTAATGACAAATGAGGCACTTGTGAAGGTTCCCAAATGAAATCCACTTGTGTCCAACCCTTATATGACTCTAATTCAAACAAACATCCCCAAATGTAACTGGATATTTAAAACCAAGGCAGACGAAGCTATGAATCTTGGGATTCACATAACAGGAATACAATCATGATCAAATTATGCTCATAGGTTTGACTTACAGACTGGTGCACTCTGGGCCCAAAGCCTCTAGGTATTTTAGCTTAGGGCTTGCAATGTTTATTTCAAGTTTTAGAGCGATCCCTGGAAATCTCAGGTGCAAACAGACTCAGGGTTAAAACCACAAGTTTCTGACAAAAGAATTTTACAGAATACCTCTCAGGAGCTCAGAAGCATTCTAGACTCAAGGAGCAGTAATGGAAGACAGTCACTCAAGACAGGTTTGAAGGCTCATCCTCAAGGTCACTAAAGGCCCTACATGAGGAACTGGAATACATGTAAAATTGCAATGCAAAGGACCCTTATCACTCTGTACTGAAGTGCTTTCCTCTGCAGACTTCCACACAGACGATTTTCACTCTGCTTGCCCATGGGTTGTGCCGCTTAGGACACAGCCAGAGAGCAGAGAGCCAGCAGGACTAGATCCTGCAGACATTTCCCTTTGAGCAGAGAGCCAGCCCACTAGCAACCACAGAAAATTTCAGAGATGCTTCACTGTGTCAGGTATGACTATGGCTTCAAAATTGGAACTGCAGGCAGACAAGAAACTACCCAAAACCCCCACAACAGGTACCCATTACCACAACAGCCAAGTCCAAGCGAAAAAGACAACAGGAAACAGATTAATTGAATGTTTAAATTTTTCCCTCCTCTGCCTCCTACCCAGGACTACAATGCTTTGCTGTCTGGAGACACAATGAAATGTCAGAGATCACTTCTCCTTCTGAAGGGGAAGTAGGAGTGGTTTGTTTCTTCAAGAAATCATAAATCCTGCAGGCATTGAAAGAGATTCTGACAGATTGTATAAAGAAAAATCACGTTAAAGAGGGTGTGATTGAAAAATAGACACAGATGAAACATTGCCATGCCCTGCAGCCACTCTGTCTGGGTGCAAGGGCAGTGTAAGTTTTCCAGGAAGACAGAACTAACCAAGAAGCATGTACAAGAAATCCTCATTGCTGTGACCACAAGACCTGCAACAAGCCCACACATTATAAAGAAAGGTGCCCATGAGTCATCTCCTGCAGCGATGCCAGACTGCACAGCAAAGTGGCTCCAAGTGTCACTTCAAGCTAGGGACAGAAAAATGAGGCATAAGAAGGTGTTTTGCTGTCTGCCTGGGAAAGTTCATCTGACTCAAACTATCTGAGCATCTGCAAATTAATCTTGGGCAGTTCTCAGCTTATTACACACTCAAACTCAATTCTCATAATGCTAAAGCAGATCCTGGAATAGTTTTATATGAATACAGAAACCAAAGTCTCTGGTAAGCTGTGCAGCATTCATTCTGAAGAGCTGGCAGTGGCAAGGCAGGTACCCACATTTGGAAAATGCAGGAGTCTGACTTTTTACCTCCCTCACAGGACCAATGCTGAAGAAGCACACCCCAAGAAGGAGGCTGGCAACCCCTTAACTCCTTTGGGGCCCAAATCCTACAGCCTGCCAGCTGGGTGAAGTCACTTGGTGAAGACTGGTGCAGAGGAATCCAGGCCCAGCAATGACGTGAGATTATAAGCACCTATTGGCATTTAATGACCCACATACAACACACTGGTGATTAGCAAGAGATCTTCCCTGCAGGCTAGAAAACTGGGTCAAACCAAACAGCAGCTTGGTTTTGAATAAAGATGTGCTGGCTTCGCTTGAGCAAACAGTTACTAAATGTGAGCAGCTCTCCACACTCCAGCACTGAGTGGCCACACCACACTTGCCCCGGCCCACAGGCTCTGCAGCAGTATTTTGAACACAACTCCATGTGTGATCAACTTCTTTCCTGAAGGATTTCAAAAGACTGTTCTTTTCTTTAAACTTACACAAAGCTTGATAGTTCAGCTCTCAAAGGCATGCCAGAGAAACCAAAATTATACTTACATCAAGCTGCAAATCACATTGAGAAGTGAAAGGCAGAAGGCAGCTCCAAGCAGTTTTGCAACAGGATCCATGTCCAGACCAGAACTGCCATGGGCCCAGGTTCAGCTGCCACACGAGACCCACGCTGCTGCTTTTGTGGTGCAGTTATGGCTGGGGGGAGCATGGTGGCTCTGGGGCTATTCCAACAGCCCACCCTCCCTTCAGCCTCACAAGGGCTCCTGAGGGGCTGTGTGACACCCCAGGACAGAAGAGACAGGGCTGTACACTTTCCAGACATGCAAATCATCTCATTTGAGCAGACATCAAAGCACAACTCCCTTCCAAAACAGGTTTCCTACTATACTTACCTTCACACAGCTTGACCTTCTCCTCCATAAACAGCAAGCCTTTCGCAAGGAGCTGGTTCTGCCAAGAGAAAAGAGAGACATGCATTTGCCTTTTATTTATCTATAATGAACATGGAAGAATGCATTTTTGTCAGAAACTACCCACTTTGCATGCATTAATCTTAAGATTAGTCATGTTGCAGTACCTCCTTCTAGCACTGGTCTCTGTGTGAGTGCTAGACATTCCTTAACCCCCTCTTGTTCAGCTAGACATGGGAATGCAACAGACACAGCAGCTGAAACATCTCCCAGAAATGGGAAGGGTCACAAGGAGGAAGTCAAGAAAATAAAGTGGTTCTTACCATAATGGTGCACCCACATACGCTATAACTCAATTACATGATAGAGGCAATCAAAGAGTCAAATGCTATGAAAATGTCCCACTCTCTTCTTCTTTTTGCACTTGCTCATTGCTTGTGTGCACAGTAGGCCAAGCTCAGCTCCCTAACATCTACTTCTCTATTCTTACCTATTGTCTTTCCATGAGGCCATTCTTTTTGTATTGAGAAGCTGGATCATCTCAGCGTGCAGTGTCAAGCTGCAGCAGAACTAGCAGGACCAGGTCTTTCTAGATAAACTTAACTCTCACAGACCAAACAGATCAAGATATCAATATGCCTGTTTGCACTTCAAGACATCCAAATACCTGCTTAGCTTTTTGTTCCCACTTTTCCAAACGTAAGAATGATGCAAAAACAACACCTATCTTTTTGTTCTCCCAACAGCACCAGGTGAATCAGTTATTCTGAAAAGCTTTGAGAATGCTAGAGAAAGGCACTGCAATCACCACATAACACACTATTTCTGCATTCTAAAAAAGGTACAGAGATCATACTGATAGAGAATATAGGCCTTCTGCCTGTCTGAAAGGATTCAGTATCAGGGCAGCCCACAACAGTCAGAGATGAGTCCCCCACTGTTCAGTTTCTGGTTTTAATGGGAACCAGGTCAAGGCTGCACTTTTGAACCTTCCATCAGCCAAGGAGCGTGGTACATCTCTTTCCACTCCCAGTGGACACTGCTGTTACCTCACTGCCTGGACACCACCACAGCCTCCTTGTGAGCTGCCATAGTGCATCCTGCCCTGGTGCTGCTGCTCTGCATTGTAAACCTGCCTCCTGGAACCACACACCAGCCTGGCTCAGCCCTGACACGGAGACAGGCATCTGTGGAAACACCCCAAGCCAAGGGAGCAGCATGTTTCTGCATCCTCCCTTCAACAAGGAGCTAACACAAATCTGGGTATAAAAAGGAGAAAACATTGCTTCGTGACATTCTCAGGGTGGGAGATATTTTTCACATGAGCAATGACAACAGGAATTAGCAAGCTGGATGAATATGTTCACACAATGAAAAAAAACTACAACATTTCCAAATGTTAGCAATAGTGGAAGGTGACTGTTTTATGAAAATCCTCTAGCAGAAATATGGGAAAAAAAACTACAACATTTCCAAATGTTAGCAACAGTGGAAGGTGACTGTTTTATGAAGATCCTCTCACAGAAATATGGGAAATTTTTCCCTTTGGAGGGAAATATTAAGTTGTTAGGATGTCCATGCAAGTTTTAGATTTGTTCAACAGAAATAAATGACTACACATATCATGCTCTGGACAACAACAAAAAAACATTCCAGGAAAAACCAACAGCATAAAAAAGGAGGGAGAAAGAAATCTGTAATGAAGAAAACATAAGGGGAAAAAAGTGAAACCCACTTACACTATAAATATTTTTCTTCTTGAACAATAGATAATGTTGGAGTGATATGGCACTTTAATCCTTCCAAAGGCTTTCAGTTCATTAATAAAAGTACTTAATTTCTTTATTTTTCAACCTGTAGCCCAAGGCAATTAGTTCTCATATACTGCAGGGGAAATTTACAGCTGTTCTTTAATACTGTATTATTTTAAACTAATTTGTAATATAAAGTTGTGTGTATATATATATATACACATATGAGGATGCGATGCTCATTTTCTTGTGTTTCTCTCAAGAAATATTAATTCCTTCTCTATCTGCTGTAGAATGTTAGATTTCATTTTATATATGTTTCCAACTTCAGATACAATTTTCCAGATACTTTGCCTAAAAGTTAATATTATTGATATTTTTTTTACTTCCAGGGATATTTTTTTCTTTTGTCATCAACCAAAGAACACATTTGTACATGCTAATGGACAGCACAGCTATATCTATTGCAAAATAGATATATTAATCATTACTCCATGGTAACAAATGTATAATGCTCCTATGAATGGATTATAGCAACTCCATGTGCTAAAGAGATTGCATAATCTCCCTCTAAAGGTTTCCTTAACAAAGAGATTAGGGCTATATAGTTACTGTAGTTACTGCAGACTTTTCACTTATCCTCAGATTTTTCCTGTGGAAGAGACTTTAAAAAAAATTAACCACACTTCATTTCCCTTCTCCCCATCCTAAAAATATCTGGAAATGTTATTTCTCCATCTTTCCTGCGAGAAGTCACAGGCTGAGGAATTGATTCAATCCAAACATTAATCCCTCAGAGCAAGCCAGACAGGCAAATTGTCATTAACAAACCCTACAGGCTCTGCTGACAAATCAATACAAGCCATTCAATGCAGCTGCAGTGGAGGTCTCTATCAGACCTTGTCTAGATTACAAGTCCCATTTTGCTGCTGCATCCCCAGAAGCACAGAGCTAAGAGGAAAAATAAATCTTCTATTTAAAGCAAGACCAGATAAAGACTCATACCGAGTAAGCTTGAAAGGTACATTTATTTGAAAAAGTTCAGGTGCCACCTTCCATCTCTGCAGTTAGAGCAGAACAGGGATGGGATCTTGGGGAAGCAGGGATTCCCTTCCCTCCTCAAATGAGCTCTTCCTGGTTGCCCAGGGTGTTTTCCTCACCCTGCTGTTGGGGCACCACGGGATGCTACCTGCTCATTGTGGGAGGTGCAAACCTGCCTTTACTCTTTGCTACTCTGCTGTGCAGAGCAACAAAGTCCCAACTTTAAAACACATAAGAGCAGTTGAGAAATCTGGAGAGAGATGTTTTGCAGCAGATAGAAGTGACCTTGTGAAATCCCACAGGCTGACCCTTTTTCTCAGAGCAGAAAACCAAAATAGCTGACTCAGATACACCAGTAAGAAGGGCAGCTAAAAGAAAGCTCTTAAGTAAATTTTTTAATGCCCTAAGTTTTTAAAGACAGGATTAAAAGTGAAAAGAATTGCTTTTCATTTGTTCCTCAGTAAAGATCCTCTCACGACACGTCTGTGTTTGCTACTCTTTAAAGTAAGTTATATTCAAACCATTGGGAATAAAAAAAATTTTGAAGGCAGTCAGCCACCACCTTATAAAACCCACACACTTTCCTGATAATTCCTTCCTTTTTTCTGGCACAGATATTTTCCTCTTTCCCTTCCCTGTTAGAAAAATTGAGGCAAATTTCTCCATGCGTGCCCAATGGAGTAATACCAGTCCCACCATCCTCCCAGGGGATGAAACCTGTTGCAGGCACAACAGCTGGGGGGCTCCTCTCTGAAACCAGCAGTGCCCAGCACCTTCTCCCTCCCTCCCCCCGTTGCAGGAGCTGGGCATTCCCAGTGGGGACCCTTCCTGTGCCCAGTACCCCCTGGGCAAAATGGTACCCATCGGACTGTGCCTGAGGCAAATCAGATGCTGCCTGTCAGAAGCACTCACTCAGCAGCATGGGTGTGGGGCCAGCCTCCAGACAGAGCCAACAGGAAGGATTTTGGGGTGACAGCCATGCCACCAGCACAGCTTGCTCTGCTGTGAGTGCTATATGCGAGCAGAAGGCTGGTGGAAAACAACTGAGTAGCTTTGGCTGCAACTCCACAGAAAACAGCAAGGAGGCTCAAGCCATCACAGGCAACTTCACATCTTGCCTGAATGCCATGTCTGCAGTACAGCAAGGTACAATTTAATTCCCCTGCTAATAACAAATAAGTCATTACCTTTGAGGGAAATAGGTTTACACAAACATCCATTTAATTATGGATAAATTCTGCTTTCCCTTAAAGTCTCCAAGCCAAACATGGCTATTATGCTTTTTAAAAGCCACCTTCAAATTAACATATTAGTATTAGTTCATCAAACAACATAGGCTTGAAACAGAAGTGAACTGATCCAGAACATACTCAAATTAATTGACCTCATTTTGCTGGGTGGAAAAAATTTTCTGCAGAACACTACACCATTTCTTAAATGCACCCTGTTTCATAGGCCACTGAGGCTTTGTGTTCTAGTGCTAAACCACGCTTCTACAGGTTCTACAAGCACAGAGCCATTGCTTTATGGATAATCTGATGTTAATTTGAGAAAAAAAATCATCACCCAAACTTACTTGGCAAGTACTTTCTACAAAGTTATTTCCAGCTGCACACAAACACCTACCTAATTCTGGGCAGTGTTTCATAAAATACAAATTTGTGTGAGCTGCAGCATCTCATATCTAGAGTACCCTCCCACCCCCATCCTTTTTTCTCTAACAAGAGGGGAAATACTGACAAGCAGAGAGATCACCTCGATCCCACACAGAGGAGAAACTGCAAGATAAATACGAAATCACATCCTAAAATGACTCTTCCTAGAGCTGGTTTTGCTCACAACAGATAAAAGAGAAAGCCCACTTGAAGAGATAAAAGTGAGGCAGGGAGGGTAAGAAGGAGAGCAGACCAAGAAGGCAGCACTGTTATAATCTAGACCACAGCAAGGCAGGCAGAGCTCTCGGAAAATCCCACAGCCAGGGCCCCTGACTTCACCCTGATTGTCACTGCTCCAGGAGGGATCCTGCTCAGCCAGGCCATGGCTCCCTGATCATGCTTTGAGTGGGAGCAACTTGGCTCCCTTTGGAAGGATTCACACACATCTAGAGAGTCCATGAGAGCAGGGCCTGAAATGAGGTGTCCCTGCTCCCAGCCAGGACTAGGTCCTCTGCTCGACAGCAGGGCTGAGCTGCTGGGAGATTCCATCCATGATAACAAACCTGGGCAGTTGCTATGGAGTCTCCATGAAAGCTGCTCTAGAAAGTGCCAGATGAAGCAGAAATAATTAGCAGACCTGCACGAACAGAGGTTCCCAGCCAATGAGGAGACAAATACAATAATAAAGACCAGCTGGACCCAAAAGAGTACTGCAGACACACAGCTGAGCTCTGCAAATCACACAAGTGTGAATTCTGTTCCTTGTGCAGGCACAAGACAGCACTTGGCCAGAGAAAAGCTGGTGCTGCCTGTATCCAGCAGTAACCATCACTGCAATAGCCTACACAATTATTTCCTTGCCTTGCTGTGAAACAGGTAGACACAGAAACCTGGCATCAAGGAAGGATGCATCACACCCCTTGTATTTTTCTCTTTGGCTAAGCAGCCACATGGCCTTTTCAGCTGTTAGCTAGGCTTTACAAAGCAGCCTTTCAAAGCAGCGAGCAAACATCATGAGAGATGCTGGAGTAATCTCTCCAGGCTGGAGTTCCAGGAAAACATGCAGTGGGGACCTAAAAAAAAAAGCTTTATGGTGCCCACAGGAGAGGGAGGAGAGCAGGTTTCCCCCCAGCACGGCAGCCACAGCTGGGGAGCCTACAGCAAGAGGGACTTGACCACAGGAAGGTTCACCAGCACCACTACTGACTGCTCTAAAGGCAGAAGATAAAATCAGTTTTGGTTTGGACCCAGGCTCGCCTCATTGCTGACACCACTTACTTTTCAGCTATTTATTATCATCTTGCAGCCTGGACTTTGCTTGACACCTCAGCAATGTGTGCTCTCGCACGCTGCAGCTTCTGCAGTTCGCGCACAAACAAAAAGCTGGCTCTAATTCTGAGTCAGGACTTGCCGCCTCCACTGGCTCTCCACTGCAGCAGCCTGGAAATTATGTAACAGCTTGCCTCTTGTTTTGACACCTCAAAGGTCTCACTGGATTAGATGAGGAAACACAGGCCACTTGCCATTCCTCACCTACCCACTCTGCCAGTGCAGGGAGTGGACATCAGGCATCAGCTCTGGGCATTCGACTTTCTGCATTTGCAGCCTATGGGCTCTGGGAGAGGTTACAGTCCCTGGGAAGGGAACAGGTCTCTCTGCCTTGGGAGGAGACAGTTTGGAGTTAATAGACATAAATGCATTTCCATTTTGCCCCCCATGAGTTTCAAGATTAACAAGCCCATACAGAGTGAAAAGACACAATTCATCCCTTCCAGAGGTTTTGTTTCAGGCTGTTGCAGAGTCAGGCAGATATTAGATCAATTTATCAACACTTGCTGATTTTATATTTCAATTTTTTTCCCCATCAACAAGTGGGCCAGACAGTAGGAAAATGAAGGGAGCTTATTTGAAAAATCACACAGCTGCACCAGAGAAGTCCCAATTGCCAGTACACCCTGTTCCTCCAAATCCCAGCCTCTTACCTTTCATGGTCATAGGATTTCCACCTATTGCAGTTCAGCTGACCACCAGCAAACTAATCCAGCAGTGAGAGCAAATGCTGCCTGCTGGGTTACTGAGCAGAGAGGTAGGTACAAATGCCCCTTATCAGGAAATTCTCAAATCAGTGCATGGGCAAAGTCAGTCCTGAAAACCTGGAGCATGAAGCACTACTTTAAGGCAGATCTGCAGTAAATGTTGCAAGTCCCAACTATCTGGCATTTTCCCTCAGGCTTCAATCCAAGGAGAGGGGTTGTATATACAGTAGGATTGCTAAAGCGGCAGATTTATAAACACAACTTTCCTTCAGAATGAAACATCTGAGTTTGCACTGCAGCCCTTACGGGAATTATACTTCTCTTTCAAAGACAAAACAGGCTCATTAACTCTGGTATGATGATGGTTTGGTAGCAGAAAAAGACTGTATAAACTCCAACCATTTCCTAAACATTCCTTTAGCAATTTCAGGAGCTAAAAACTGTTAATTTGCATGAGTGCTGATGAAAAGGACTTGTGAGTAATTAAGTCAAGTTGATCACAAAAGTAGCTTTGTCTCACTACAAAAGCTCTGTTCCATTTTAGTCTTGAATATTCAATGATTATAAAAAATGTGCATGTGTGAGTATAAAATTTACATAATGTAAAATCCCCAACTCTTAAAACAAATGTGATTTTAAAGTTCCTCTTAGTGGCTCCAGCTATAAATGCCACAATATAAGAAACGGAGAACATTCAAGTCAGTTTATCACATCTAAATATTACATGATGCAGTTACTCGCTCTAATTGCTGCTAGGATATTTAAAACTGCCTGGCTACACAGAGAGCATATTCTTCAGGGTCCATTTCAATGCAAGAGGACAGAAAACTTGGTTCTTGGAATAGCTTTCAGTGGGCTTTAACAGATGTCAGAGGAAGTCACTGCCAAAAGATGCACTTCCACTCTGCTCCGCATCCTGGTGTCCCACTCCCAGCACCTCCCCCATGTCAGAGGTGATGACCACAACACGTCAAAGGAAGTAGTTGGAAACTTTGCTTTTTTTCTTTCAAGGTTATTTTTCAGCTAAATCAGCAGCTTGATTCAACTCTGCTCATCTTGGTGGCAGCAGTACTGCCATAATTCAGCTGGCATCAGTAGTGAAACAGAGCCCACAGACAAATGAAATAATGCTGTCAGCCCCTCTTTGGCACACGAACAGCCTATCCCCACTCCATGGCCCTAGGATTTTTGAGGAAAGGCATTCAGGAGGGAGTGGTAACTTTTATCATGGCCATATGCTGTTAGTCTAGAATCAGAAATAAGTCTGCATCTCAGCTTACAGAGGGAAAAATCTCACTTCTGACAATAGCCTTTATCTCACAGTTTGTCTCACAACTTGCCTGCACCAAGAGTTTTACCTCAGGCTAAGTCTGACAGATGCCAAGTTGCTCCTTTTGACACTGAACAAAAATACCCCAGAAATTAAATGTGAGTGCTGGTGGCTGCCACCCCACTCAGGGTCTAGGAAACATCCTGCCTTGCACCGCCAGCAGCTGCCTCTGCAGTAAACAACTCGTGCAGAGAGGGGGTGAGGAAGTGAAACACAACTACCCCTGGGGCAGGAGTTTTCTTCTCACTTGATAGCACAGCAGGGGGATTTTTTAAAGTCATGTAATCTAATAAATCACGTAATCTGATAGGAAACAACACTAGTGTTCTTTTTCCTCTTTTAAGCTGTTAGCACGCACACGGCAGCATCAGCCGCTTCAGAAAGTACAGAAATTTTCTCTCTCTTACTCAAAGGGAAGAAAACCCTTTTGTTTCCAGCAGGCCCCTCTTATTTTCTTTTTTTAAATAATCAAAAACTTAAAACATTGAAAGCCATCAGTGTCTTCTAAAAACCATCCAGCAGGCTTTCATGTGGTTACATGTGAACCTGTGTCTATCTGGCCAGTGTCAATAAAACACAGCGACATGTATTCACATTTGTTATTATTCAAGACTTACTTTATCTTGCACATTTTCCTTTTTCAGAAACTGCATTTATATTTGTGGGACTAAAAGGCAAACAGCACCCAGGTTGATTTCCTGCTGATAGAAACTTCCTTCTCTTTGCCCCCTCCTGCCTCCAGGCAGTCGTCAGTATCTCTCCTCTTTCCCTCTGCTGGCCCCTGTTGCAGAAAACCTTTTGCATTTTCTACACTCAAGAAAAGGCATCCCATCTTCTTTGAAAATTTCAAGTGAATTCCTTGTTGATCTTGGCAGACTACTAGCAGCCTTTCTTAACTGCAAGGGAAGATTATCCTTAATTCTGCACTCGCATCAATAAAGATAATTACTCCCAGGGCTGTATGGCCCACATTTTAAAAGTCCAGTACCTCCATCATCTTCCTCAGTAAAACAAAAACAAAACTTGTAGGCTATACACATGTAAAAAGAATCCTCCTATATTATAGGCTAAAAAGCTGAAGGGAGCAAACCTCAAAATAAAGCAAGAAAGTCATGCAATACCTGAAAGTAATCTGTGATGAAGGATCCAAGTTCACTCTTCAGCAGCCGTCTGTAGACAGAAGGAATGGAGCCATGAAGTAGCAGCCACTGCTGGTCATTTCTTACAGCTATATCTGCACTTTACTACCAGTCATATCAAAGATAATGTATGGGAATGGGTCCTTTTGGCCACAGTTAGATTTCTCTTATATATGTATTTTACAAAGGCTATTCTCAAATTATAAAGGAATTATATAGTTTCTCTGAAGTCTTCAATATTATAAACCATACACCTAGAACAAGCAGAAAAAGAAATTATTCCCCTGAATGAACAGAAAGCTGGGGAGAAAATCTGGAGTTATTTAGATTGAAATCTATAATTTTTTTCTGCTTTTTTGTTTAAACAATGATGCCTTTCATGTCACTGAAGATAGCGTATCTCCCTAATACTGTACTTCCTTTTCTTTTGGATGTAGAAGGTGAGGATAAAAAGAGGAGAAATGAAGCAGAAGCCGCACCCACATTTTAACTATCACATTTCAAACAATACAAAACAAGGAATATTTTCCAGGGAAGAAATTCTAGAAATTTAAAAAGAGATGTTTTAAATACATACAGGAAAAAGCTACTCTAAAGAGGTATTTCTGGTGAAAATTTTTGGCTTTTAAATCAGTCTGATAAAAGTTTAAAATTCAAATACATATTTCTATTTTAAAAATATACAAAAATCAAGATTGTTTTACATCAGAGTCAGCATTGAAAAAACAATATAGGAAGTTCAGTGCATTTGCACTTTAAGCTTTCCATGACTGAGAATAAATTCTGTAGCAGTAAATTCTGCCTAAAATTTAAAGGTTGCCCAACACTTTCCAATGCCTAACACTGCAAATTTGTTTTCTGTTCTAAGACTTTTGCTTTTTACCAATGTGAAGTATAGTCAAGGGCACTTGAAAACAGCATTTCAATCATCAACCACCCAGTTTTAGGCTGGGTTTTTACCACCAAATGATGCCACTTTTCCTCATCTCTGCTCAAAATCAAATTTGACAGCCTTCTTCTCTAACCATTTTACAATCCTTCTACATTTATTTGCTTGCCAACATGTCTTTACTCTTTCTCTCTCTGTTTGTATTCATCCACCCAAATCAAAGCCCTAAGAGATCAATAAATCAGGTAAGGGGACCAATTTGTCAGAATTTTCCATTGGCTTCAGTCAAATCCAGCAGGCTCTCTACTAGCTGACTGACAAGCCCAGCAGGATTTGACTTCATGCAGGTAAGATCAGCAACCAGAGGCTTGCACCTTAGAAAAGAAGGAAGGGGTCTAGTCCTAAGGATGGCCAGGTCACCTCCCACTTCTAGAAATTTCATTTACCAAAGGCATTTCTTACATTTCCTCTTGCTGTGACAACTGACTTATAGAGCAGGTAAAAGTAAAAAATTAGCCAGTGAGATGGTATCAAATCACAGCAAGATAAAATCTAGGTGGCAGCAATCCAGAACAAAATGTTACCACCTGCTCATCTCCTGGTCCAGTCCTTACCATCCTCCTTTAAAACTGTTCCATCTTTCCCCTGTGCCAAATGATGAAGCATTGTGAAGAACCTGAGAGCCTCTTACTGCATTTGCAAACTACAACCCAGGAGCTGAGTGGAGAACTACAAATAAGGACGAGGAAAATGTACCAGCTCAACTTCATGGCACACAAGGGCTGTCTGTCTCAGAGGTCTGGCTTTTCTCCAGTGTCAAGCTAGAGATTCACCTTGTGCACAGAGCTCCCCCAGTGCTGGGAGCTCCATCGAGAACCACAGGTGTGAGGCTGCAGGTGTTCATACAAACACATGCAGGGGCCTGTCCTTTGCTCCTTAGATGGGCATTAATGAGCTACTTGGATGTGAAATGGTCTATTTAAAGAGTGACATTTGGAGATGTAACCAATGCTCAGGGCACCTGCAGGAACATTAATCATGTAATTCAAGGTGAGTGCTTCCAAGTCCAGCCTGGCAGTGCATGTCTGTGGAAAAGGGCATTTCCCCTCCCACCATCAGCACTGCTTTCAAAGCATACACAGTTCACAAAGAATTTCCTGTTCTTTGCCTGGTTTTCGCCACTCTGCATTCACTTCAGCAACCAGCGTGAAGAGAGCATGGTCCAGCCTCTGGGGCCAAGCCCAGACCCCCCAGCAGCTCTGCCCAGTGTACTGCCTCCCTGGAAGGGTGGGAAGGACACCTGCTTGCACTTCAGGGGAAAAGCAGGATGCGGCCACTGTGGGCAACAGGCCACTGCGGGCAACAGGCCACTGCGGGCCACTGCGGGCAACAGGCGAGTCACAAAGCCCAAAGCCATTCCCCAAGTCTGCTAGCAAGCTGGGGCTTTAGGTATTTCCCAAGCCTTATGACATCTGTTTTTATTTTCATGTCCGCAAATACTCATCCCATGGAGAATTAAGACTGCTCCAAGTACTTAAACCTAACTTGAAGACTTCTGACCTGAACACACTAAAATATCATTAAAGTGCAAGATGCTGCCCTTGCTCAACTCTCAAAAGGAATTACATTAAAATTTTGGGTTTGGGACTAGACCAAATTGGACAGAGTCTCCTGCCTGATAGCTGCATTTATTTTGAAAGTGGGGAAAGGGGTAGTTTAGACTGCTGTTTAAGCACACACTTAGCTCAAATTGCCATTTGAATCTTTTGGAGCCTAAAAACATGCAATAGGAATGAGGGGAGGACATATAAAAGAAGAAGTAGAGACACATGTGAAAGCACTTTTGATGAACCAATATGGATGCAGTGGTAAAAAGAGAAGGAGGAACCTACATCCATTAGCTCTGACAATACTTCTCTCAGCAGCACTTGGAACCAAGGCAAGAATAAATAGTTCTTTATCTACTCCACAGTCCTATCTATTCCTAATCAAACTTTCCAACTAATCAGAATGAAACCACAGATAATCATGAAACCTGCTTTTAAAAGAAAACGATACTTTGAACCATCACTAACATCAGTGACAAAAAATGTTAGCTAGGCTTTTAGTCTTTTTTTATCTTTACTGTTCATATTTTCAGGTTTTGCTCTGCAATTATCATGTGAAGATTAAGCTTTTAAACGAAATGCTGTGGTTTGCTTTAAACACTCCACAGTTCTGAGAAGTCTGGCTTCAGAAAAGAGATGCCAATATTATTATGTATAAAACATATCCAAAAGAGGCATAGCTCCTAGGAAGGAACAAAAGCCTTATAATCCAAGCCAATATACAATCTGTCCTTATCAAAGCTGCACAAGTTGGAGAAAAATTATCAAAAAACCCTGTGCCATACATGTCACTCGATAGCAAGAAAGAAGTAATTTAGCCAGAAACCCCAAAGCTGTGCCTAAATTGGCTTTCATCCCTTCTCTTCCCACCAATATCTTTTAGCTGTGGTTCTGAAGGCAACAGATCCCAGGAAACACTGAACAAGCAGCAACAAAACTCCATTTTCATGCATTTCAGTGACCTACCTGATATTTTCATTGAGGGTGTAAAGTTCATTGTTCTGCAAGCCTCCCCCTTTGAACACATTTATCACTGCTGTTTGTACACTGCCAAAAAAAGAAATGAGACAGGACAACATCCATGAATAACAGTGTGATTTACCACAGAGCACAACGTGAGCAAGGCACCAAAAGCAGAGATTACAGCCAGGTGAAGATAACTGCCCTTAAAGAGTTCCACTTTTTCCTCACCTTGAAATTGTTACTCTTAATTACCTACATCTCCGCTGGGAGACAGAGCAGAACCAACCTCGAGTTCTGCCTGGGGTAAGCAAGGGAAAGTTGTCACAGGGGTCCTGCTTGTGACAGATGTCTCTTGAACACAACTGTTTGGGGTTCTTTGCTGCGTGCTGCAGGCTAGTTGCTATGAGGAGACATAAGTTTTTTGATAATATCTGCCAAACACATCACACTGCATTATCCAGTGATCCTACCCTGTATCACTCACTCTGAAGCATCTGGTAAGACCCTGGCCGTGCTGGAAGATGTTCTGCAGCCAGCATCACCTCAGTCAGATCTGAGTTTGAGCCCTGTTAATGCTTGTAAGATGCTGTTGGAGTATCTTCTAATTCTCTCACCAGCACAGAGGAAGTCATAAAGTGACAGCAGACAAGAAGGTTTAGCAGGTCTAAAGCTTGCCATGGCTAACAAGGGCAGATGGCATTCCCTAAGCAGACATTCCCTTCTGTGGGCCAGTTATAGCATCTGCATGCTTCACAGACCTCAGCTCACTATCATGGCACAAAACTGCAATGTTTTTGCCAGGCTACTTTAGTGTGACATTGGTAAACTGAGCTAGGTCAGCAAGCAAGAACAGCCTGCAGAGCACAGAGCTGGTGGCACGTGGCAGAAGGGAAGGTGGGAACACCCACTTCTAGTAGCAGCAGACCATAACAGCAGATCAAGACACAGGACATCTCACCCTTCACCTTTCACACTGTTTTTCCAGTTGCCATTGCTGCATGACACGCACAGCAGACAGGATTTAGCTATCAATAGGAAATGCTGGTTGAAGCCACAAGCTTAGCAGTTACCGGAGGAACCTGACTGTGATAAAAGCTTCATAATATGCAAATATATTCCTTTGTGAATTAATACACTGGCATTTATTACAGTACCAGGAATGTGTTTTCCTAAATGATACTAAAAAGACGCAACTGTTAACACGAAGCAATTCTGCTTTTCAAGAGTATGGCTGAAAAACATTGGCCAAAACCAAACAAGTACTAGTAGGTCTAAATTTTTCAACTCCACAGATGCTTTCAATGCCAGCAAAGCCTAGACATGCCAAAAATTCATGCACGCTTATAAATAGATGAGCTTAGTCTTCAATGGTGTGAAACACAAGCGTAAGATACACATGACCCTCACGGAGGAGCTGCTGCAGGGCAAGAGCTCAGCCAGGTGGGTCCTGCTCACCTGTTCCAGGCAGAGTTGGAGCTGAGCTGCATGGCCTGCCGGGCTGCCTGGAACCGAGGCAGATCACTGAGGACAGGGGAGCTCATGAAGCGAGGTCGAGGCCTTCTGAACGAGCCCATCTTGTCGAACTGGAGCACAAAGGACAGAGCTATGGTGAACCCTCCTTTCATAGGGTCAGGTGGAGCGGAGCAGGACCATCAGAAAGGCTCTTCTCTCAAAGGTTCAAGCTTTGATCTTAGCAAAGCCCATGTGAATTCAAGCCCAAGGACTCAGTCAAAACCAGAGTCAGCCCTGGACTAGCGATTCCCCGCTGTGTCGGGTTGTGACATGAGCTGCATCATGAAGGAACTGAAGCAATCCTGCAATGCAAAAAGAAAATAAAAGAGTAAGGAAGAGAAGGGAGAGATGAAAATATCCTGTGCCATTAACAGCAGCTTTGGGAAGACTCTGGAATTCCAGAGCTCTTCAACTGCCCCATTTCCCATCTTGCCCCTTAAACAATGACCCAACAGAGCCAGTCAGGAATGCAAGCATGGCCTCTCTTTTGAGTTCAATTAGCAGAGATGCAAAAACAGAGATGCCTCAACTCTTCTGCCAGAGGCACTTACAAACACATTTAAATACAGTTAGCCACACAGCTTGTATATAAAATAGTAGTAACTGGAGAAAGAGAAAACTATTCCACTAGAGAGGTACAAAAGATGAACAGTGGAAAAAAAGATTTATAGACTGGTGCAGTGCTTCTTTTTTGAGAAATGTTGTGCAAGGGAATAAACCCACATGCTATCAGTTCACTACAAAAAGAATATAATAAGGAGCTTCTTCAAAAGAGTTCTAACATCCAGATATTTTGAGCATGAGCAGGGCTTTTATGTTTCTGGTTTTTCTACAGCACAAGAAGTAATTGCTAGGCCAATTGCGAAATGCCTGTATTTTCCACTCTGATCACCATCTCCATGTAGATGACTATGTAGCCCCAAGTAAACCACAGAAATAGAAGAAGCAAGCTTGAATAAAAGCCACAAAAAAACTTTGGCAAAGCTTCTATACTTTGAAATCCTCCCACTTTAGATGAATACAAGCAATAGATGTAGTTGGCAGTTTGAGAATGAGATGTGGGACACAAGAGAGCAGAGGGGAAAAGAAACAAACAAAAGAGTTGCGTAACTGAACTGTACATGAAAGATGTAAAGCAAAATCTCTTTTCTACTACATCTTCAGCACGAGGTGAAAAGAGAGATGGTCAGACAAAAACAATGCTATGTGTCTGCACTAATATGACTGGTGTTCAGCCCTGGGAAAATCTTTGCACTGCCCAAACAATAATTTACTCTTACATGTGAGAAAACAGCTTTCTTCCCACCTGGCCAGCCCTATTTTATGCTAAGCTCACACTTTGTTACCCCAGTTCTGCACAGCCTTGGCTGATTCTAATCAATCACCACAAAGCCTTTGCAAGGCCCTTGCTATGCCACGGACACCACATGCCCTGCCAATGAGGAAGCTAATGGAGAAAACATTCCACGTTTTAGGCACTGATACACACAGTAATATCATTCTTGGTGCTATTCAAGAAATAAATACCATTGTAATACCCTCACAAGCTAAATACAGTTTGCAGAGATCTTTGTGGAACTGGAACATAGCTACAAGTGCAACTTTTTCCTGCCTTCAGACAACTCCTGACTGTCTTCAGAGATGACAAAGTCCAGACAGTCTTTTGTGACATAAGCTTAGCCTTAACTGTTGTTGCTTGAAAGGGCAGCAATCTGTTGATTCTTTGCCTGCTCTGTTACAATTAAAATAAAAACAAAGTCATAACTTTTAGACATAAAGACTAAATGTAAACTAGTACAACCACATCAGCAAGATCTTCCATGTGCATTTTGCAGCACCAGTTCATTTGACATTGTCCACACATTTTCAATCTGCCAGCAATATCTCCATTGACAACTGTAACCACATCAGAAATCACCAGAGGAAAAAGCAACAGTACCTTGGAGAGCCGAGGCAGGTTCTTTTCATAGCAGACCAAATCATGGCCGCAAGGCAGAGCCCAAGTACAGAGGCTGCTTCTGTTGCAAAACAAGAGCTCGTGCCAATGTTTGTCTACAAGTTCCAAAGCTGACAGCATGAGGAGCTGAATGAGTGACAGCTCACTTCTCCCAGCAGCACTGTAAAACTTCTCACTTAACTATCTTTACACATAGAAACACAAAATTATTTGGGTTGGAAGAGACCTTATAGACCCTCTGGTTCCAGCCTCCCTGCCACAGGCAGAGACACCTCTCACTTTCAGAGGTATAAAATGCAATATAAGCATTATTTCTAGCAGGCACTTAACAGGGCTAGAAAGCAGTGGTTAAGATGTGCTAACCCACAAGCCTCCTCTTACCATTACCCCAGGTGCCACAAAGGCATGCAAGCACCTTTCTCCCCAGCAATGAAATCATTTTATATGATGCATTCATATTCATTTGAATTATATTAAGTTGCAAGGGGAAAGCTTAAACTCAGAAATGTAAAACAATATAACAACCCCTGTGCCTCAACATATATAAATTTAGGTATGGGTAGGAAATTCTTTGGCATGTTCTGTGCAAACAAGAAAACAGCATGATCAGGAAGGTCTCTTCTGCACTTGGGCTAGGGATTTACAAGACTGATTCCACACAGCAGAACCATGTCATTACACTGGGCCCCATGATGAATTTCCTGAGCATTTCTTACCTAGGGAATGTGCTTAAGCTCATTGAAACATACATGCTTGTTTTCCTTCATCTCAGTTAAAAGTCACGAGGAGATAAAAACAAGCTCTTGCCTGGGAAGAGCAGATAAGACACCCCTCTTCCTTTCCCAACCCAGCCTGCAATGTATGTTACTGTCAAGTCAAGCTTACTTTAGAATCTGATTAGGAATTTAAAGCATCATCTTCATCTTTAGGACTTGATTCTTAGTCTTATTTCTTCAGGACTCAAAGACACAAATCTCTCCTATCTTATCTAAACCCAGTAGCTATTAAATGGCAGGCACACCAAACTCTTACTCTGAAGGCAGGCTAACCCTAAATGGTATCCAAGCATAACTGACCCTTATGTTACCAGAACTGGAAATGCCAGTCTGTGAGAAGGACCATTCTCTCTCCATGCCCACAGCCCATTTAAACTGTTTTCAGAGCTCCATAAAGCTCAAAGTAACAGAGTGTTTACTAAAAAACTGACTTTTGTAACTATTCTGCAGGTCCTGTGCACCTACCTGAAGGTACAACAAAGCACCTGAACCCAATCAAACACTTCCATCACACCAGATTTTCCTTTCACAGAAACTAGCTTCCACTGAAAGTTTTCCCCAAAGCAAGGAAGCCTTGCAAATAATGCTTTATTTTCACAGAGAGGTTGCAGCAGCAGTTTCTTGGCAATATCTGTGGTGTGCATTCTGCAGTGTGCAATTTTTTGGCTTTTTACTGGGAGAAACTACCCCTGTGGCAAGAAAGGCATTAACATAGTTATAGGTTAGTAAGAAGCCCTCATGGTATTCAGGCTATTTGAGCTATTGGGAATGAACAGCATTTAGCAGAATGCTGAGCAAGGAACAATTTTCATCTTGCTGTGAAAAGTCACTGAATTATGCAGAAATGTTCAGAAACACACTGTTCTTCTAGAGGCTTTCACTATAAACTCATTCACATCTGCAGTTTCTTCTTGCTAGGATTAAAGTGGTTTAGAAGGCTACAAAATAAAACTTAACTTCTAATAATCACAATCCTATTAGCAATCACAGAACTTGAAAAAGCTTTACAGAGAAGCAATTACTTTTCCCCTTTTACACAGAATGATGGGAGACACCAGGATGCAGCATGTTCCAGGCACCAAGCAACATTCTCTCCATCAATTTTAAAAGACATTAAGACTGAAGTGCAGTGACTGCATAAGACATACAAACACACCAGATAATTTTTCACTGCCACATGGTTCAGCTGCTGGGATAATGCTTTACATGGCATCATGGGGATTTCAAACTGTTTGCCAGCTGATATATCCTAAAACATTCCCCACTCTCCTTATCTTGCTTAGTGACCCTGCACAACATTTTTGGCAAGACTAAGAGAGAGATAGGTATTGCTCTACCTTCTCTTCCAGATGTCCTACCCCCAAGTCCTTTTGTTTTCCTTATCCTTGATTATCACCTCAAATTCCAGCTACCAAAACCCTCTAGACCTCTAACAAGGCAGATATGTCATCTGTTTAAAACTCAGTTCTTCAAGGGAGCTAACTCTGCAAAGATAAAAGTCAATGTCCCCAAGTGAGGCAGCACAGCAGGACCATGAGTCAATCTGACAACAATGTAATTTCATCCACTTGTAATTCATCGCATCTGAGTAAACACTTTTAGGATTAATATGAATCTTCAAAGAAAATAATTGAGCATCGAGACAAATCCTTTTCCAACACACATAGATACAGACATTTATAAAAACATTACAGTCATGAAGCTAGGAAACTTTTATTATTTGTTTTCTGTTAGCCACGAAAAACAAAAGAGAAATCATTATAAAATGATTTCATGAATCAACTTTTCCCTCCCAATAGATCTTAATACATCTGACTGTCTGGAGGAAAAGCAAGACCAGTAGCCACCCCTACTTCAACATCTCTCTCTACTAAAGAAAGAATAACCCAAATTAAAAATTGGCAGCAAGGTCTCCAAATTATGAATCTTCACGATAATCTTGGGCCAAACAAACAAAAGGCCCATGGTAACTGAGATTTAACAGAACAGACCTTTTAAAATTCCTCTGATGTCTTCTCTGCAAAACTCCAAGCAACAGCTGCTAACGGAAGTGACATGGCAGAAAAATCTACAACTGTTTTTGCTTCTTAGAAGAAAACTTTCACCAACATTACTTCACAACAAATTCATTCCAAAAAGCCACAAGTCCAAAAGTAACTTTGAAACAGGAGGGAAAGAAATAGTGGAGAGTGAAACAGAGCAACAGAGAATGATGGGGTTATCCTGACAGACGTGGTATTTTGCCATTTAATTATTTTTTGTGTTACTAATAGCCCCTTCATGAAGAAAATTATACACTTGCTTATACTTGTCTTTTGTATGCTTCATGCAATTGTGACATCGATGACCTATGATCATAAAATACACCAATTGGACACTGTATCATGCGCCTGAGTATTTTGCAATCATTTTGTGAGTAGAAGAAGTGTAATCTTTAGAAAAATGCCCCACTGTACACAGCCTACAATGCTTAATGAGCAGTCCCATCCTGCCTCAGACACAAAAAGTATGCAGAGAGCTAACCAGATTCTTGTTAGCTGATTCTTCTTCCAGCCCAATAAATCTTTAA